TGGCTGAAAGCAGAGAATACCAGAAGGATGTTTACCTGTGTTTTATTGACCATGCAAAGGCATTTAACTGTGTGGATCATAACAAATTATGGATAACACTGCGAAGAACGGGAATTCCAGGACACTTAATTGTGCTCATGAAGAACCTGTAAACAGATTAAGAGGCAGTCATTCCAACAGAACAATGGGATACTGCGTGGTTTAAAGTCAGGAGAAGTGTGTGTCAGAGTTGTATCCTTTCACCACATTTATTCAATCTGTATGCTGAGCAAATAATCTGAGAGGCTGGACTATATGAAGAAGAATGGGGCATCAGGATTGGAGGAAGACTCATTAACAACCTGCATTATGCAGATGACACAACCCTGCTTGCTGAAAATGAAGAGGGCTTGAAGTACTTACTGATCAAGATCAAAGACCACAACCTTCAGTATGGATTACACCTCAATGTAAAGAAAACAAAAATCCTCACAACTGGACCAATAAGCAACATCATGATAAACGGAGAAAAGACTGAAGTTGTCAAGGATTTCATTTTACTTGGATCCACAGTCAACACCCATAGAAGTAGCAGTCCAGAAATAAAATGATGTACTGTATTGGGCAAATCTGCTGCAAAAGATCTCTTTTAAGTGTTAAAAAGCAAAAATGTCACCTTGAAGACTAAGGCCCGCCTCATCCAAGCCATGGTGTTTTCAGTCACCTCATATGCATGCAAAACGTGGGCAATGAATAATGAAGACTGAAGAAGAATTGAAGCCTTTGAATTATGGTGTTGGTGAAGAATATTGAATATACTATGGACTGCCAGAAGAACAAACAAATCCGTCCTGGAAGAAGTACAGCCAGAATGCTCCTTAGAAGTAACGATGATGAGACTACATCTCCTATATTTTGGACATATTATCAGGAGGGACCAGTCCCTGGAGAAGGACATCATGCTTGGTAAAGTAGAGGGTCAGCAAAAAGGAGGAAGATCCTCAATGAGATGGACCGACACAGTGGCTACAACAATGGGTTTGAGTGTAGCAACGATTGTGGAGATGGTGCAGGACTGGGCAGTGTTTCGTTCTGTTGTACATAGTGTTGCTATGAGTCAGAACCAACTCGATGGAACCTAACAACAAAAACAACAGCATACACTGAAAACTAAAATACAAAACAAGACCAACAAAACAAAACAAAAACATTGCTGAGAGAAACTAAAGATGACCTAAATAAATATATATATACCATATTAATGAGTCAGATGACTGCATATTGTTAACATGTTAATTATCTCCAAACTGATCTATGGAATCAATGCAATTTCAACTGAAATTATAGCAGGCTTTGTTGTAGAAACTGACAAGCTGATTCTAAACTTCGTATGGAAAGGCAATTGACCTTGAATAGTCAAATCAACTTTGAAAAAGGACAAAGTTGGAGAACTAATACTACCTGATTCCAAGATATATTATAAAACTACAGTAATCAAGACGGGGGGTTGGTACTGGTGTAAAGACAGAAAAACAGATAAATGGACTGGAATAAAAGAGTCTAGAAATAGACCTACACATATACTGGCAACTGATTTTCAACAAAGGTGCAAAGGCCAGTCAGTGGAGACAGGACTGTTTTTTCAACAAATGGTGGTAGAACAACTGGATATCTATATGCAAAAAAATGAGCTCTAATCCATACCTCACACCATATAAAAATGTAACTCAAAATAGATCAGACTTGAAAGTAAAACCCAAAACTATAAAACTTCTACAAAAAAAATAAGACAAAACTTTTGGGACCTTGGTTTGGCAAATATTTTCTTAGATACTACATTAAAGCATGATCTATAAAAAACAAAAAATAGACAAATTGGACTTCATCTAAATTTAAAAAAAAAAAACTTTTGCTCTTCGGAAGCCACTGTTGAGAGAATGAAAATGCAAACCAAAGACTTGGAGAAAATATTTGCAAATAATATATCTGATAAAGAACATACTTAAAATGTATAAAGAATTCTCAAAACTTAATAAAAGAAAACAAATAACCTAATGCAAAATGGGCAAAAGATTTGAACAGATACTTCACCAAAGATATATGGATGTAAGATACACACATACAAGGATGCTCAACATCATTAGTCGTTAGGGTTATGCACATTCAAACCACAATGAGATATACCTACGCCTATTAGAATGGCTAAGATTAAAAAGACTGACCATACCAAATTTTGTGAGGATGTGGAAGTGGACGTCTCATACACTGCTAGGGGGAATGTAAAATGGTACAATCATATGAAAAAAACATTGGGAAAACAGTATGGCAGTTTCTTAAAAAGTTAAACATACACCAATACACCTATTATACCATCCAGCCATCCCACTCCTAAAAGAAATGAAAGCATATTTCCATACAAACACTTGTATATGAATATTGATATTAGCCTTATTTGTAATAGCCCAAACTTGAAAGAACCCAAATGTCCATCAATAGGTAAATGGATAAACAAATTGTGGTATATCCAGGCAGTGAAGTGCTACTCAGAATTACAAAGTAACGGACTACTTATACACACACAACTACATGAATGAATCTCAAAGTAATTATGCTAAGTGAAAGAAGCAAGTGAGAGAAAGTAGATCGGTGATCACCAAGGAATAGGGGTGAGGTAGGGGAATCAGTAGTAGGAGGGAGAAATGACAAAGGGGCATGAGATGGCTATGTTTGGCAAATATGGATATGTTAATTATCTTGATTGTGGTAATTGTGTCATAAGTGAATACCTATGTCAAAACTTAAACTGCGTATTTTAATTATGCGCAGTTTATTGTATATCAACTATATCTCATTAAAGGTGTTAAAAGATCAATATGCACACACAAAATCTGACCTCTTCTCACCAACGCCATTGCTAACACTCTTGTTCAAGCCACTATCCAGTGTCACCTGGATTATTTCAACATTCTCTTAACTAGTCTCCCTGATTCCACCCGTACCTGTTAATGTCTGTTCTCAACTCAGATGCCAGAGTGATCCTGTTAAATTTAAGTCAGTTCACTGTCACTCCCTTTGTTCAATGGCTCCTTATTTCACTTAGTGTAAAAGGTCTTTCAAGGCCTTGATTCTCTTAACTTGAAACACTTAACTTCCTTATGGTTCCTTGAATGTACCAAGAAAGCGCAAGTCTCAGGGCCCTTTGCACTTGCCCTCCATGTATTCACGTTACTCATTTCCCAGCCTCCTTCCTATCTTCTCAGTGAGGTCTTCTCTGACACCCGATTTAAAACTGCACCCTTTACACCTGCCTCTCCTATTTCTTATTTATACTTTATTTTTCTCCAGAGTGTAGCACACATTGACAAAGACATCCTACTTACTTATATTATGCAAATAAAATGTTAGATCCATGTAGCAAGTAGTTTTATCTATTCACTGCTGGTCTCTAGTGCCTAGAATGGTGTCTGGATCACGGTAGGTAGGTACTCAGAAAATCTGTGTTTAGCAAACGGCTACGCACTGTGTCTGTTTTCCTTGCCACACTGGGCACTCCTACAAGGTACACTGTGTCTCATTTATCCTTGCATTCTCAGTGCCTAGCACAGCGCCTAGTACAGAGACCACATGATCAATACTTTTTCAGTTGAATTGATGTGCACAAGTAAACCACTGTCACTCACTTTTAAAGTGCTCTCTACTCTTCATAGCGGTAGCATCAAGGTCTAGGACAAGACCAAATCTTTGATAGAGACAAATAATGTTTACTTAGGCTCATGTAAAATGCTGGGCAAACAAAGCTGGACAAAGCTCCTAGCACCACCTTCCAACCATCTGCTGTTCCCAAGACTCTCTCACACGGCATTCTTCTAGAGACACAATCTCTATCCTGTTTTCTCTCCCAATGTAAATTCCCAACCCCAAACCACCAATAAGTCAGCCAGTCTCCTCTCATTCCCCCGCTTCCAGCCTTTGTGTGCTTCCCCCTCTCTTTGGCTTTGTGTGCTCCTTCAATCTGAAATACCATCTTTCCTGCATCACATCAAAAACCCCTTTGTGTGTCAAAGTTCAGTTTAAGCCTTACCTCTTCCTCAAAGTGTCCTCTAGCTACTCGTACACCTAAAGAAAACAAACTCACTGCTGTGGAGTCAATTCCGACTCACAGAGACCCCACAGGGTTTCCAAGCTTGTTAATCTTTACAGTAGTAGATTGCCACGTTTTTCTCCCGAGGAGCCACTGGTGGTTTCTAACTGCCGACCTTTTAGTTAGCAGGCAAGCGCTTTAACCACTGTGCCACCAGGACTCCCTTACTCATACACCTACTACTACTACCCGTTGCCATCTAGTAGATTCCCACTCACAGCGACCCTACAGGACAGAGCAGAACTGCCCCATAGGGTTTCCAAGGAGCACCTGGTGGATATGAACTGCTGACCTTTTGGTTTGCAGCCGCAGCTCTTAATCACTGCGCCACCAAGGCTAGTCCTTCTTATTCTGCTCTTACTGCAATTATAATTTGCACCACACCATTTTGAATCCAATTATATAATTTGTTGCCCTCTAAATGCTTCTCATTTCTATTTCCTCATCTGAGCTGTAAGACTTCTTTGGAATCTCTCAGTGCACTTAGCTGGGTGCTGAACACACTGTGATGCCACTTACCTGACAACGGATGGTTATCATTTCAGAAATGGGTGGGGGAGGGGAGAGAAGTGATAGGAAAAAGGCTGAAAAGTGGATGAGCAGAGTAAGAACTAAGAAAAAAGCTGCAAGTAAAAGGGTATTCTAGGGAAAAAAGGTGGACTGTAAACTACCTTCTCATGAAGACAAGAAATGAAGGAATCTGGATAGGATTATTATAAAGATGGAAAAAATAGTGGCAAAGTGATAGTATACTTGGAATTGACTCTATGGCTGCACTATATTAACAGGAGATTTCATTCATTCATTCAATTCACATATGAGTGTTTATGAATAAAGAACTTTAATGTAATTAACCATATGAATTAACCTTTCTCTGCCCAAGGCTGTTAATGAAATAAAGAATCCATGTAAAAAAAAAGTAATAAACAACAAAGCTTGAGATAGAATATATTAGTAACTACCCACTGCTGTCGACTTGATTCTGACTCATAGCGACCCTGTAGGTCAGAGTAGAGCTGCCCCATAGGGTTTTCAAAGAGCGGCTGGTGGATTTGAACTGCTGACCTTCTGGCTAGCAGCTGAGCTCTTAACCAGTGCACCACTAGGGTTCATATTATTAACTAGGGAACACTAATACTACTTATTAAGGATTCTAACATATTTATAGGAACTTCATTACATATCTGACTTGGGCAGCAGATAATGAAGAATAACACAGAGGAATGAGGTACAAAGAGGTAAAATTTTAAGACTTTTAAGGAAATGTCTTCATTAAATTAACCTATAGAAATGTCTTCTTGTTATCTTAAAAAGACAGTGTAGCTTGACATAAATGTGTAAAAACTGTATGCAAAGAAGTGAAGAGCAAGACAAGAAATTCAAGCAGAAAGTAGTAAGAGGCGGTCCTATGTGCCTGTGTGGCTCCTTTATATATTTTGGTCAACCAACTAATAAGCAAATGTTGCAAACTGAAAGGGCTGCAAAGAAACTAAAAAAAAAAGCTCCTGACAATTTACTTGGCTACCACTGACTCATTTAGGTAAGTGAAAGAAGTCAAGTCGTGGGTGACTTCTTTTTACACACAGGACAATAGTGTTTCCACATTCAACTCGCCTACAGTTTTCAACTCATGAGAAATTTATCTTAATTCATCCTTGCTTCTAAAAATTACAAGTATAGGGAAAGCCCAAAGGCTTTAAATGAGCTCAAACATTTAGACATATCTGAACTTCTCATGAAAATGTCTTTATTTAAATTCAGACAATTTTTAAGAGCTGTATGTTCAAAAGGAGAAGCTGAGCTACCCTACAGCCTTGAGATGCTGGGATGGTAGTGAGGCTTTGGTGAGCTCTAATCTGGAGAGTGTGGCTCGGGTCTCTGTCATCTGAAAACAGGTTCCCAAGGTAGTCAGAGTGAGGCGTGCATAGAAGACATTCTTACATTCACATATTATATGAAGGTTTAAAAAATTTAACAAAACAAGTTCAAAGACACCGAGAACACTGATCCGACACTGTATTAAATATGTCCTTTTTTTTATTGTTCAGAAAGTTTATCCTCATTGTTCCAATCTATTCTTTTTTCCTATGTGTAATTTGTCATTGTGTATAAGTTCTACAAGGCCAGTGATTGTATTACCTATTATTATGCAAAATGTAAACTGTTCAGAGCTTGGAATGGAAAACATACTTGACAGATAAAACAAAAACAAAAAGCTGAAAGACCTGATATGTGTGTTTGCACCATATGACAGGCAGAGGGAAAGAACAGCAAATTAGGAGACTGGGGACTTGCGTTCTGGTACTGGGTCTGCCACTTACTACCTGAGGTGACTTGAGAAAAGTCACAGCCTTTCTGATCTTGTTTCTCCATCTGTAAAACAGAAGTCAGATACTGGTCTGCACTTTTCCCAGAGATACTGTGAGAATCAAGTGTGATAATGGAGTGACTGGGTTCTGAAGCTACACAAGGCTATAAGTAGTTATATAATTATCGATGGATCTTATCTCTCAGGAGAAGATCTTTAAACTTAAAACAAAAATGGTACCTTACCAAGGAGCCTGTCAACAATGAACATGGTTAAAAAACCAGTAGTCTGGGAATCAGGAGACATAGGTCTTGGTGACATAAACAGGCCCTGTGAAATATGCATAAGGCCTTTCTCCTCAGTTTTCTCAACTACAAAACACAGGGGTTACAGAGAGAATTTCTAAGGTATCGTTTAGTTCATGATTCTGTGACTTTTAAATTCCATTTAAAAACTGTTTGCTTTTCATCTGAAGAATGAAATACTGGCTTGTGAAATACTGCATGGCTTTATTTGACAATTCTTGTAAATAAGACTGTCATCTGAATCAGAATTTTTGAGCTGGAAGAGACATATTATTCTTCAAAATGTCAAAGCTTACAACAAGCTTAACACGAACAAATACTTTCCTGAAGCAAATGCAGCAGGGATTTATCTGTGCGCACACGTGTGCAAGTGTGCCCTCGTGTGTGTACGTGGAGGGATATGACAGGAGTGGGGAGGCCCAGAATCTAAGGAGTTCAAGGCCGTTAGACTCATGTTATAGTTTGCTAGTGATGTAATGTGAATATGAAGTTTGAGTTAAGAGGGACTTTAAAAAATAAACACCTCAAAATACATTACTCAAATACATTAGGCATTTACAAAAAAACATACAATGATAACGGTCTGGGTATTAGCTTTTTTTGTTTAATGTCTCAAAAGAGGCATTTCATAATTTTATTTTTACCATATCATCCACTTCTTTTCAGTTAATGTCATTTCAAAAAAAAGTTACTCAAACAAAAATAAATGACAAAATAAAACTCCTCTAAAGTTTAGTATGATACTATTTTATTTAACATTATTTCTTATAACTTTGTAATACATATGCTCAATGTCCCACCATTAAAATATTCTCCTTTGTTTAGAGTAGCTAACCTCTTTTAAAAAGCAATTACCTGAAATTGAATGTATAGTGTGATATAGTATTATATATCTACTCTGTCTTGTAGGGTCACTTTGAGTCGGAATCAACTCAACAGCAACAGATGTATTTTTTTTTTAAATCAAAAAAGGAAAATGGAGAAACTCCTTAAAAACCCCCAACTATTTATCACTGCAAATTATTTAGGAGGAAAAGTTGCTTACTGTGTCACAGATTCTGAGCCCAGTCTGAAGTCCTGGGACTTGTCCTTCATGACTGACTGCTGTGAAAAAAGAAAAACAAGCAGTAAGTAAAAAATGAGAGAAGATAACACAGTCAGTACTCACATGCTGAAAACCCACCAACTTCCTGAATGAGGAGAGAATATGTCTGTTCTGAACAAGAATGTCTATCAGCATAAAGTATTCCCACATATGAGCTTTACAACCAAGGGAATAGTTCTCCAGATACTGTATTTTTCATGCAAACAACATGCATCTTCTACATTTGTTTGCCAACTGAGCTCTCCCCCATCCCCCAAGGTATTCTGGTAAGAACATTATGCTAATTTTGTTTTTACAGCAACAGAAAAATTGACTTAGTGGCACTTATGAAAATACCTGGAGGGTGAGGGGAGAGCGCAGTTGGCAAACAAACGTAGGTGTGCGAAATACAAAATATGGTAGTTTGAGCAGTCTTTATAAATAAAGTCAATTTTCAAGTGAGTGGCAAAAAAAGGCAGTTGTGAATCAGGTTAAATTAATGTAGAAATACTATGTGGTATATTACTTAAGCTCTAAATTTATCTTTCTACACTGCATCTTTCCTTCATAATCTCTTCAGTATACTCTGTATTTTCATAGTGGTGACATAGTGGTTACAAGCTCAGCTGCTAACCAAAAGGTCGGCAGTTCGAATCCACCAGGTGCTCCTTGGGAACCCTATGGGGCAGTTCTACTGTGTCCTATAGGGTTGCTATTAGTTGGAATCGACTTGACGGCAATGGGTTTGGCTTTTTTGGTACTCACTGAACTATATGCAAAATTTTGCATAATCTTCTATAAAATTTGTTCAGTATATCTGTTTTATTAATGGCAACTTTGAGAAAAAGAAATTCAAAAGCAATTCTAGTGATGCCCGATTATACTGAGTGTTAGATGCTTCCTCTACAGTTTGAAACATTAACTCCAAATCAACGTGTAACACAGGCAAGTGGTATCTGACATGCGACACAGTATTTTATACATCAACCCCATGTTGCCATAAAGCAGACTACAAATATTTGTTAAAGAAAATTGCATGTTATAGAAAAGATTCATTTAAAATTCACATGGGAAAGATAAACTGTTAAAGTTTTGAATTATACATATATGAAACATACCATATTTGCCTAATTGTTAAAAAACTTCTAAACCAGAAAACAAAACAAAAACAAAATAAAAGGAGTACAACCTTCTCTTTCATCTTAACCTGTTTGGGTAACTACTGCTTTCCCAGTGTTACTGCTACTGAAGCTTGTTTTGCCTTTTAGATTTCCTCCTTCACAAAGGACATCATGCCTGGGAAAGTATAGGGTCATCAAAAAAGAGGAAGACCCTCAACGAGATGGAGTGACAGTGGCTGCAACAATGGGCTCAAACATAACAACGACTGTGAGGATGGTGCAGGATGGGGCAGTGTTTCGTTCTGTTGTATACAGGGTTGCTATGAGCTGGAACCAACTTGATGGCACCTAACAACAATCAGATTTCTGAAAATCATTCTTCAGCAAGATTTGGCACTGAGTATCTTTAAACAAACATTACTTTTCTTCTCATAAAGATTTCAAGAGGGTATCATGCTTTTCTGGATCAAAATTATGTGATATTACTGCTAACTGTACAGCTTTAAATCAAGCATATAATAATAAAACCAAAGATTGAAGAACAACAAGACTTATGGTAAAGGGTGAGTGTTACAGCAAGAAAGCCAATTCATAGAACAACAAAAGAACCAATGACGTCTTGAGTTATCTCCACCAGTGAAGATGATCTGACTCAGCTGAAATGTATTTGGGGAAAAAAGTACAGAACATGGAAAATTTCAAATTCTGGGATGAATTCAGACTGCAGACCAGTCTACATGCCCTCATCCAATAGAGCAACAAGCAAAGAAAACCATCAAAACCTAAATTTGGAAAGCATCAATCATAACAGAATTTCTTCAGTTTCTTTCCAAGCTTATGAGACAAGTTCCAAACACAGCAATCAAAAATTAAAGGTCAGATGCTTTATTCTTTACATGGTCTAAGTATTATTACTCCAATCTCTTTGCCCATAGCAAGACCAGAATCTTACCAGACACATTATACATAAAACTCTGTAAAACTACAAAATTTTTAAAAATAACTCATTGTGACAGCTCTATCAGAAAAAATCTCATCAATCTGAACTGATTCCAGAGGTTGAGGGGAGAGAAGTCAGACTGAGAAAAGTCACTACTGTTAAACCAATGTTACTTTTAATTATTTTCCGTGGCCCAAAAAATGAGAACAAAATGTAGCCAAACATAGGTCTTACCAAACCTGCTTTAATGCACCAATATAAATGATTTGGAATAGAGCTCTGTTCATGTGAAAAGGGTGCTGTGATGTTCTCAGACAGTTTGTCTTAAATAGGTTCAATACTGTCCTGCCATCTTTCCTACCACAGTATTGCATTACTGTAGTAACTGCGATACCCATCTCCTTTTTCATGATACGAAGGTAGCCTAGTCTATGCTCAAATACTTATGAATCTCAAATTAACAGGGGATCCACATTACAAAGTTGTAATACTTGTTTGTCATAGGTCATTTATTTAATCAAGACCAGCACTTCACTTCTAAACACCTTTACTCACTCATTACTTGGTCTCAGCAGCAGCATGTCATATAGGTAGTTGCTCGTGGAGGCAGGAGGAGGGGGAAGAAGGAGGTGTCTCTGTGAGCTGCTTTGGTTTATTTCATCTTTAAACAATAAAGCCCTAAGGCTGTTATTCAATCAGCCCATATACACTGCCCATCAACAAAGCCAAGACCCATGACTGCCCTTCTTTCCACATAACACCTCTCCGACAGCTGTTCTGTGACTTTGTTTCGTCTTCGTGGATACCCTTGATTTGGGAGAAGAGATGAAGAGAGGAAGGTGAGCAAAGCAAAGAAGATGAATGGAAGGACCAGAATCTAGAGACCCCTGCTTCCCCAACTTCCACCACTTCTTAGTGATGCTTTTAAATTTTAGATTCAACAAAATTTAAACATGAAAGGATTGATTAATAGAATGGTTTTAAATGCCTCCAGAGATACGTATTTACTGAGAAGAAAACAACTCACCCAAATATTTCCATAAACTTTAGAATAAATGTACAATTAGGTAAATGTTCAATGTTTGTTGTAGCTAGCACATCAGCTTTATATACGGCACATTTATGACAGAGTAGAGTTCTCAGTCTGCTCCTCCTGATATATCTTTTCCATACAATTAATACCTAATGTTTGCTTATAACCACTTAGGAATTTTTAAAAAAGATGTTTTTTTCTTGAAAATGGACAGGCGGCTCAGAATAAAAGCACACACTGCCATAGCACCATTCTCTCATTGTACAGGTGAGGAAATGGTGGCCCAGAGTCACCACGGCTACAGAAGTTAACAGTCTGAAGGTTATGTTTGTGCTTTTCAAACTGATTTAACAGCAAAACTATTCTTCAATACAATTTTTCATGAAAGCTTCATGTATAAACATTGAAAAGTAGAATTACTCTGGGTGAAGCTAGGCTTTCCTACCCTGGCACCCCCTACCTCCCCACCCCAACCTCCAACTGCAGATTCCTCTGAGGGACAGAGCTCTAGGACAGCTACAAACCACTGGACTAGACAAGCTTTTTCCTATTTCCAGGAATATAATTTTATGCTTTAAAATACTTAAGTAAGTTTGAAGTTGGTTCTTTGATTTCAGAATATATTACCAATTATGTCTCTGATTTATCTGATGTTAAATCCTCCGATTATAATGCTTTTCTTTAAGAAAAAAAATACTCGGTAAATTAAGATGCAATTTCTAGAAGCATATTATAGCCAAAAAAAAAAAAAAAAAAAAAGACCATCTTGACTGATGATTTGTAGGTTTGGGATATTAATTATGCCAATTAAAGGCAATAATAACAAATCATTATGGCAAACTAAGAGCAAGGCACTGTGTTAGATGCTGTGGGGATACAAAGCTGACTGAGCAGGAGCCCCCTGTCCTCTAAGAGTGTATAACCTAATAGGGAAGGGCATGCATGCAACCAACACTGCAGAGTGAGATACATGTTATGATAATAAGCGCAAAAAAGAAATGCGTGGAAATAAAGGTGAAGAAGTGTTGGATTGTAACTGGGAGGCTTTTGAGAAAGATTCACAGAGGAGGGAGCATTTAGCTGGACCTAGAGGGATGAATCGACATTCTGATAATCGGTGCTTGTTGCTGTTAGATACCATCGAGTCGGTTCCAAATCATAGTGACCCCATGTACAAAAGAACAAAACACTGCCTGGTCCTGCACCATCCTGATAATTGGTGATGCATAAAAATGATCCAGTTTGAGAAAACAGAGTAAGCAAAGGTCTGAGGCATGTGTCTGCAGAGTAGCATACTCAGGGAGGTGTCCTGGAAGATAAGGAAAAGTAGGTCAGAACTTCTGTCCAATCATAGAGGCGTGGGAGTTCGATAAAAACTTATGATATTTGGACTTTACAGATGAGGAGCTAGCCAAGATTTCATAGCTGATGAGTCACATGACTTGGTTTTACGTTAGGAAGGTATCTCCAGAAGGCAGGTAAAAGGTGCATCAGAGACTGGTAGTGGGGAGAATGGAAATCACTACCGGCAAGAAAGCAAGGGGCTGTGGCTACTCCACAGCAACATCTTTCCCAAGCTCTTTTCTCTCAGTTCACTCTTAAAAAACTGGCGTTCCTTATGGCTCTGTCTTCTGTTCTTTGTTTCATTCTTTATACTTGTCTATTCACGTGGATTCAACCAGTACATTGACGCTACCTTGCCGCTGAGTTGAGTTGATTCTGACTCACAACGACCATACAGGACAGAGAAGAACTGCCCTGTAGGGTTTCCAAGACAGCCGCACCTTTGTCTCACAGAACGGCTGGTGGATTTGAACACCGACCTGTTAGTTAGCAGCCGAGTGCTTAACCCACTGTGCACCAGGTTCCGTTCAGGTTTATGCTAATGATCTTCAAATTAATACTCTGAATCCAGATCTTGAGTTG